AAACGAGAACGGAGGATTAAGATGCGACATTATAAATGTATCCGATACCGTCGCATCATGAGCGACTGCTGGCATTTTATTTGAACTTTCACAAGACGGGTCGCAATCTCGGTCTAGCGTCTCCCACGGTAAATATCAATAACGTTGCATATATGGTGAGAAGAAAATCCGATCCTCTTCTGAAATACGTGCACGCACGCAGGGGCGGATAATACTGAGATTTTTCTCACATTTTTTCGTCTTATGACTGGCAAACGCAATCGTCGGAAGTAAACACCGTGGCCTCTTCGCTCGAGAATATGTTATTATTTCACACTTTCGTTCTCGCTGCTTACACGTCGAATCGATATTTCCGTGAATGTGAGACGAGATTCGCGCAGATCCTTGTCTTTCGCGATTTGGCACGCGAGCGCTTAACTGCTCGAAACGAAAGCGGAACTTTGATCACGCAATTTTGCGCAAATTCCGCTCTCACTTCATCGCGTGTTTCTTTATTTTTAAACTGTAGGACCGCACGAGAAGAAGTGACTGTCAAAATTAGCTCGCAGTTAAAGTAGCGAAATTTTATCGACAATTTCCCTAATTTTGTACAACCTATCATTTTGTTTGCATTTATATTTTGCCGCACGGAGAGAATTTTCTCTTCGAATTTACCCTGAAAATCATAGTAATCATGGACAATATGGTATTGGAAGAATTTTATAATTTCTCTGATTATAATATTTATCACAATAAAAAATATTAATATGTGCACAGTAAATTTTAGTATGTACATAGTAAAATTCATCGAACATATTTTACATTTTATTGTGGTAGATATTACTATTTTTATTGTAATAAATATTAATCAGAGAAATTTTTATAAAATTCTTCTAATACCATATTGTCCATGATTACCGTGATTTTCAGGGTAAATTCGAAGAGAAAATTCTCTCTGTGCAGAAACTGCGCAGACACCCGATACGTGCGCTTCTCAGTCGTTGCGCATTTCACGTGACATGTTTGACATTTAATTACACCAACTGCCGATAGCATTAGTTATGCTTGCCTCGACCGTCGCTCCTGATTTCGTTGCAGCTGGCGATGATGCATCCGCATTTGTAGCAAATAAAAAAGCTCCATCGTCCCGAGGAAAATATCAACTCACGAGAGTACTAATGACATTTCATACAACTTGGCGATCCTTTATATTGTCTTCATATCGATCGCATATCTTTCCGCTAAATTATTTATGAACACGGAAAAAAAGAATTAGCTATCATAGCTAAATTTTAGCTGTCCATATATTACAACCTGAAATTTAATTACACCTAAATTTTAGCTACGCGGTAACTAATATTTTTTAGCCATATAGTTTAATAGAGAATGTTATAGCTAAAAAATATTAGCTGTCATAGCTAAGGCATGATAATTAAATTTCATGTGTAATATATGGACAGCTAAAATTTAGTTATGGTAGCTAATTTTTTTCCGTGAATCTTTCAAACATATCGCATCTCAAAATATTTTTTCTGACCTCGCAAAGTGTTGATTCGGCTTCGATCAAATGCAAGAAGCGAAAAATGAATGGAAAAAAAAGGAAATCGTGAAAAAGTGTTAAATTGAGTTGAAAGCCGTTTACGTTCAGTCAAGTAAGACGTTGGAATAATTAAGGAGATCGATAACCGATGTCTATGAGAGTCCCCACAGGCGTGAACTTAATCGCAGGCTTGCAATCGAAAATGTGCATTATTATGCAGCGTGTTGACTTGTGCGTGAAATGATCGAAGAAAGTTCAGATATGTTCAAAAGTCGACCATTTTAATTTCTAAACTTTGAATGATATTTTCCACTCTACAAGTTACAGGATGAAGCAAAAATAAAGGAATTTGATATTGCGAATATTTAAAAATTCAGAGGAGCAATGAGAAAATTCTTTAATACGTTTAATCTATCATTACTTAAAATGAATATATTGAAGAATATTTATAATTCATAGATACAATTAAACAAATAAAAATAGAAAAAATTTATATTATATCAGATTGCAACAAGCAATAATATTATGAGAAATTATGACAAATCTTTATTCGCAATTGTTATAAATTCAATGGATTTTCTCCTAATGCTTTCACCGATCGGCATCTCATTCCGTAATTATTTTCGCTAATTCCTCTTCCGCCGCGAGCATAAGGAAGAATTAAGTCAATGCGAATTAAAAAGAGAAAAACGGAGAAATATTATGAAAATTATATGTTATCTCGCGCGCGTGTATCTCGCGAGATCAATCGTGTTTTATGCAATTATATACACGAGTTCGACATCGCGGGCTAAATGATCAGCAATTCTCTCACGAGAATTCACGAGTTGGTAGTAGAATCATAATTAACTCTACGAAAGTGCGTTCTTTTTTTTTAATACAACTTGAATTGTTCGTTTCAACAGAAACATGCTTCACGTAACTAATATATACTTCGCTAGAGACTCTGCAATTTTAATTATCTGATTGATCTTATAATCGACGCATAATATAATAATATATTACATAAGTGTGAATATAAAAAATATTAGGTCGTTCCATATGATTCTGCAATGTAAACTTTTTAAAGCGTTCTTTGCCAATAAAAATCTTTATATTTGTACATATTTTATATATTATTTTCAAGCTCAAAACTTGCCTTTTGAGCGATATAAAAATTGTTTACTCATATTAAAAAGAATGTTGAAAAAAGTACAATCGAAATCAATTAAAATCAAAGACTAAAATCAGGTATAAAAAAGCAAATTTTGAGCTTTAAAATGACGTATAGAACATGTGCAAAGATAAAGATTTTTTATTAACAAAAAAAGCTTGAAAAAGTTTACATTACAAAATCAGACATTTCGTATGGAACAATCTAATATATAATAAAAAATATATAATTGGCGTGCAAATGACGTGTCTGTTTCGTCAGCAACGATTAGGGACAATCGGGGAAAGCATCGGTCATACCTTGGAACGGAAATCGGTTGAACAATCGGCGGTACAGGCGTGAAAATGGAAGTGTGACGAGTTAATTGCCGCGCGAAAAAGAACCTGCGAAGTACCGTGAAAGCGCGATTTTGTCTTGCTTAATTCATTGTTTTTTTCATCTTGCACAAGCGCGCTTACGGTTTTATATACATATACTTACGACAGCGTCGTCATCCATCCCGCCGTGTCATGGTGTAATATGAACGACCGAAACCACGAGAGGACGAGTCGTTACACATTCGCGTTATGCACTCGCTCTAAATAACGCGACCGAGCTAGCACATTGCCTCATCGTCCCATTGTCACCCGGTAATTGTCATTTGCGTGACAGTTCTTACCGGATACACAAGGTGGATCTTCTAGATTCGCTAACTTTTCACATTTTCAGAATGTTAAATAATCTGATAATTTTTTTTCTTGTTGCACTCATTAGCTGAAATTTAAATGATTTTAATATTTAAATTTTTAATTTTGTATGTTGATTGAAATAAAATAACATTTTTAAATCGGAGTTTAAATTATAATATAAAATTATATTCACATATTCTATGTAAAAATAATATATAATTTTATTATACAAAATTTTAATATATAATTTATAAATATAATTTAAAAGATAATTATAAATTTATAGTTTCGGATAACTAATGTAATATCAGTAGAAAGTATATAACATAATTTAAAATTTTTGTAGAATTGTATCGGTTCTCTATTACGTATTTACTTGAACAAATGTTACAATCAATTGATATAAAGCATGAAATATTAGAGGTCATATTTGAAAAATCGCAAGATAAATTGTACACAGCAATAACTGATCTTTACTAATGGTACATTCTATCGTAGCTATTACTAACTTCAAACGTGACTAGAATGCGAAGCAGTTTTCTTTTTTTTCTTCGCTACATATCAATAAATCTCGTGTAAAAGTAGTAAAAAATTTGGTTATTTTACAATAGTGAATTATTATCAAAAAGAAGCCAATCGAAATAATCAACAACTTGACAATTTGTCAAAATTATTTGTATCAATTTTTTTGTATAAGCACGAATTATACTCGCACAATAATCAAGACTTTTTGAGACATTTTGCATTCAAATGCGCTTATTAAATCTTTATATATATATATATATATATATATATATATATATATATATATATAATTTGTGTGACGATCAGAAAAAATTCAGCTCTCTACTCCAAAATATTGTATTCTTGCTCTGCAAAGCAATGTCTCGAGATTTTTTTTCAAAGCTGCACGCGACTACAAACCTTTACAAAAGGCAGTATAAGGAAACTTATTTTTAAAGATATTCTGAAAACGTTGGACTCAAAACCTCGATAGTTTTAATGTCGTTACGCTTTCATGTATTGATTGAAATTGAAATCGTATCGAACGTGATTGCTATACACGTAACGAGCTAAAATTTCAACTTTTCCTTATTCTTCCGTGTATCGTATTTACAGGATTGATTGATACTAAAATAGAAAGAATGCTCGTAATGATACGATTACGAAACTGCTCGTAGCTTACGATAAAGTAACGATATCGTATATACGACAATCATAGAAAATTCAATAGTAATAAGGAACTTATTAACTATATCGCAATTTGGAAATTCGACATTATAAAAACAAAATTAAATGCCTAAATACAAGCTTAATCTTTTATTCTTCTACTTCCTTAAGATCTTCCTGAAAGATTACTTTCCACTCCGCAATTAAGCTAATTCATCCATACGGATAATTAATTACTTTACATGTTGCAAATTCATTAATTAAAATTATTTAAGAATAATATCCGGTCTTTTCTCTCTTTCTCTTTCAAACAGCTCATCTATAACACATTAGCGAAATATCTTTACATAATATTGTATTAATAATTAATTTTTTCCGATCTTTATATAAAGACCTATGGCTTCTCTTTGCTTTTGCCGCGTCATAACTTATACAATTCTAAAAAAATATAAAAAAACCTTATCTAAATAAAATCTATATACATTTGCAGATCAAACGATAACAGACCAGTCGGCGTCGTCCTCGTTCTGGAATCCCACTCTCAAAACCGACCTCTTCGCTCAGACTGACAGCGCGACTTTCTTCCCCACGGCCCACGGCCTGACGCAGACCCATCCGACCAGCACGGTTTTCCGCAGCGGTTTCGGCGGGATCGACAACCTCGGCAGTCGAGGAGTGACGATAAGGCCGCCGAGGACGCGGCCTCTCGATTACAACGAGCGCTCCACCGCCGAATTGCGCCGAAATCCATCGCTCTCGTCGCCGGACGAGTGCGCTCGTGCCTGCCGAGAAAGCGAGCCGCCCAGGATATGCTATTATCACTTCACCCTCGAGTATTACACCGTTCTCGGGGCGTAAGTATCGTCATTATATCTCGAAATTATCTTAAAACGATGGGAATTGCTAAGGAGAAGATAACAAGCTCAAATTTATTCATAGGAATTCTAATTCCTTTTTGACTTTTTCAACCAAGTAATTGGTTTTTACCAAAATAGATTTTTTAATGGAAAAATTAACCTTTCCGAAAGGCAGTATTGTTCCTTTTGAATATATAAATTGCTTAAATAATTGGTATCGTTGCAAACTAGTTATATAAATATAAATTTAAAGTGTAAGACAAGGCACCAAATTTTACTTGGTCACGGCCAAGATTTAAAGCTAGTCATATAAATTTCTAGAGCGTGTCAAGTATGCACACCGAATGCAACCAATGCCGTGTGGAGTGATTGTCAGTGTGTCCTGGCTGACGGAGTAGAGAGAGGTATTTTGACAGCGAACAGAATGATCCCTGGCCCGAGTATACAGGTATGCCAGGGTGACAAAGTTGTTGTTGACGTGGAAAATCATATAGAGGGAATGGAAGTCACAATTCATTGGCATGGAGTATGGCAAAGAGGATCTCAATACTATGACGGTGTACCTTATGTAACGCAGTGTCCCATTCAAGAAGGCAATACGTTTAGGTATGCATAGAAAAAAGAGATCCTATTTTTTTTGTATAATTACATTTTTATCTTCAAATAAGTTATAATTTCTAAACAATTTTAATTTTTTTATGAGAACTTTATTTCGAAAAAAAATATTTAAGTATAACTTTGTAAGGGAGTTATTTTTATTTCGTAAAAATATTTGTCAAAATTTAAGTTCTCTTTTCAAAAAAATTGAAATGTTTTTATAAACAAATCAATGCACCTCTCAAAATAATTAAGGGATCAAAAGAAATTGTTTAAAAAATAGGCAAATTTTAAATAGCTGTAATTAATTTAATTATTTTGAGAAGTGTATATTAAAAAAATGTTTGAATAACGATTTGCGAGATCCATGAAATAAAATGATTGTAAATTGATATGTAAAGATATCAATGGACAGCCGGCAATGAAGGTACACATTTCTGGCATGCTCACACTGGCATGCAAAAGATAGATGGTCTCTACGGGAGCATAGTAATCCGACAGCCGCCGAGCAAGGATCCCAATAGCAATCTATACGATTACGATTTAACCACGCACGTGATACTTATCAGTGACTGGTTCCACGAGAGTGCTGTCGAACGTTTTCCGGGTCGTCTTGCAGTCAATACAGGTCAAGCACCTGAAAGCGTCTTGATCAATGGAAAAGGTCAATTTAGGGTACGTCACTTTGGATATTAATTGATTCTCAACAAGGATGATATACTGTCTAACGTCATCAGATAAGCATCGGCTTTAATTTATATTAGAAATTTCTTTTACAAGCTCAGATTTTTCGATATATAAAAAAGTTAACAAAAATTTAAAGCAACTTGTATATCTGTGCAAATAAAATTGCGAGCAAGATTTTTCGATAATAAAATTTTTTTACTATTATCGCAGACGAAGATTTTAATCGTGTATATCTTTTAATGCAGGATCCTAATACTGGTTTCATGACAAACACACCCCTCGAAGTATTCACGATAACTACGGGTCGCCGTTATCGATTCCGATTAATTAATTCATACGGATCGGTATGTCCTGCTCAAATCACAGTCGAGGGTCACACTCTCACAGTCATCGCCACCGATGGTGAAGCAGTTCAGCCAGTACAAGTGAACACCATAATTTCATTTTCAGGTAAAGCGATTTTATTCCACATTGATTCTAAATATTTTAACAAAGTTGATTTAATTAATCATTTAAGGCAAATAAAAAATAATTATTGGAAAAATGAATTTTCTGATATTGAAATTGTAACAATAAAAAGTTCACGAAAAATAAATAAAACATTTACAAAAGTTCTGAATAAAGAAATTAAATAAATTATTTGTCAAATAATTGATTCACTAAATGATTAATTTAAAGAAGATTATTTGCATAATAATTAGCAATAATCGATAAAATTCATCCTTCACGAAATCAATCAAAGATTGATTTTGCATTAACATTTTACGTTTCCACAATAGGTGAACGTTATGATTTCGTCATAAATGCCGATCAACCTATCGGTGCTTATTGGATTCAACTTCGGTCGCTCGGAGAATGCGGAATTCCGCGGGCCCAGCAGCTGGCTATCCTGCGATACGCTCGTGGTCCTTATCAACCGACTACTACACCGCCTACATACGATTTCGGTCTTCCACAGGGTGTCGTAAGTACATTTCCAAAATTATTAGTTGTTTGCATGCCAAATATTTTTTTACGATTGAAGCTAAAAACGAGATAAAATATTGAATCTTTTCATCCAGAACAAATATTTAAATTTAAAGGATCTTATAAAATATTATCTTAGTATATGCACTGCCATCTGTTTGAATGCTAAAGACAAAAGGAATTCGTATGGATATATAATTTATATATAAATAAAAAAATAAAATATAATTATTTATTGAAATTACCATCTGTATTTCAATGAAATTAAGATATCGATTTTCATATGTGACTATTGATATGAACAAAATTTGATAACGAAAAAAGATTTACTTGTTTATCTTCAATCGATAGACTAGAGACTTTCTTAAAACCTCCGTTGCAAGAGGAAAGATGTGTTTATATTTCAAAGGAAAAATTTCTCGTGATAAAAATCTTTCGAGAAATTATTTTTTTTTCTACTTCTTTTCTTATCCAATTATTTTTACTCGAAAGAAATCAGACCGAATATTGAACTATGATTCAAAAAATTTGTTTTAAAAAATAAATGCAACTATATCTCAAATATAAAGTAATATGCCTTTTATACTAATTGTAAAATAAAAAAAAATCTATTTTTATCCTAGACTTAGATGAAAAACAATTAACGCGGATTCAATTGACTAATTAAATTCAAGAATATTTCTTAAATAATAAGGATTCGATGTTGCTATTGCGGAGTCAAGAATGGTCTCTTCTTCAGGTCATGAATCCCTTGGATGCTATTTGCAATCGACCGCGCGAGGATGCAGTTTGCGTGAGTCAATTGAAGAATGCCCGACACATCGATCAAGGCATCCTCCAAGCACGCCCCGACGTGAAGATCTTCCTGCCGTTCCGCTTCCTGTTCTACAGACCCGAGGAGGTCTTCCAACCGCAAACCTACAATCGCTTCCTCGGTAAGGACGCGCTAATAGCTGATTTAATTCGCAAAAAAGAAACGAGCGCGAGTCACGCGATAATTGCGTTTGATTTTCATTTGACATAAACACGGCCTTGGAAGCTTGGAGGTATTCTCAGGAAGATATGCTTAAAAAGGGATATAATCCAAACGTGCTTTGTGCATGCAACATATTTCCGACGATCCTTGAGACGCCAAGAATTATACGCGAGATACTTTGCGGGGTATATTTGCTATAAGTGGTGTATACTTTTTCCTCGGGACAATTAGATTCGATAGCATGAGGAGGTACAAACCGGTTATTTTATCGAGGCGCGTACAGGGTGTTCCGAAATTATCGTCGTATCTTTCAATCGCACATTTAATTTTACGCTTAGATGTTCCTTTAATGAAAAAAAAAAAAATTTAACTTCGCGAGCTTTATTCACTCAAGGATTAATGAAGTTATCATACATTATCATCACTTCCTCGTTATTACATATTTATGTGAAAGTTGCAAAGACTTATCGCATTATCTCGGTTGTGACCGCAGTTGCGCCAACTGGTGACCATGTGATTTCTCTCGTGGACGAGATCTCGTTCACGTTTCCTCCGGCACCGCCGCTCTCGCAGATCGATGACATCCCACCTGAACAATTCTGCAACGGTGACAATAGACCAGCTGACTGCGGTGCCAACTGCATGTGCACACATCAAGTCGATATTCCGCATAATGCGGTCGTCGAAGTGGTTCTTGTAGACGAAGGTAAGTTTGCCACGTTCATTATTAATTTTGCTTTGCAGAGCTCTTTTGTATTGGGCGGGAAAATACACTGGAAAAAATTCGATTACAGTACAACAGCCCAATCTGTCGCATCCCTTCCATTTGCACGGATACGCGTTCAACGTAGTCGGCATCGGCCGTTCTCCGGATAGGAACGTGAAGAAGATCAATTTGAAACACGCCCTCGATCTCGATAAGCGAGGTCTCCTGCACAGACAGTTCAACCTGCCACCCGCTAAAGACACCATCGCCGTTCCCAACAACGGTTACGTCATCTTCCGTTTCCGCGCAGACAACCCGGGTAAGTTTAACGCAACGACGACTTAAAAACTTCTAGCGCATTATTCTGATGAGATGCAAATTGTTTACATTCGCAGCTGCTCGCATAATTACAAAAGTTTGCGTACACTAATTATGTTGTGTGTCCAAGTATTATGTCTACATAAAGTGTTAGCTTAGTTGCCAATTGACTGCGCACTTCTCGCCAACTTTGGAAATAATTTTCTGCGAACGAATGTAAACGAGATTGCTATCGATAACACTAATTAACTTACACACCATTATTATTTTGACTTTCAATTTGACTACAAGTTATAAACAGGAATTACATTAATATTAAACAATATCTTCTTTTGTTTAGGATACTGGCTGTTCCATTGCCACTTCTTGTTCCATATATTGATCGGCATGAACCTGATTCTTCACGTCGGGACGCATGCGGATTTGCCACCGATACCACCGAATTTCCCGACCTGCGGTGACCATTTGCCGCCCATCACGCCGCCTCTGTCGCTGAACGCGTTCCATTGATGTGCGATTGACTGATGAGCGACGAGCTCAAAAGACGAGCTGACTGTCCAGGGTGGAAAAAATCTCCCCCGTTTTTTCCAGTTTTGCCCGTCCCGAAAGAAATATATATGTGCTGGACAAAATAAACAAAATGGACAAAACTGAAAAAAAATTTAAAGATAATAAAGTTCGGACAAAATAAACTTTAAATAAGAACTTTGGTTTTTGACAAACGAAACTTTATCTCTCATTTTATCGATTTTTGTATTATTTCATATTTCATCCATTTCGTCTATTTTGTCCACTTTCTTTCAGTGCCCCGAACAAAATGCCAACCCTGGCTGAGAGACGCTCCAAAGTTTATACACGATATTTGTAGCATATTTCTGTAAAGTAGCGCGCGAATCTGTAATATCCTTTTTTTTTTTAACTACGCAACATCTCGTCGGTCTACTCTTGAGAACGTACTTTGCTCGAGACGATCACGATCGATTGCGAGCAAGAAATTCGATGAGTGTCGACCCCCATTATCTTACGTAACCGGCTGAGAGCGAAGAAAATGGCAAGCTGAGTTAGAGATACGTGCAAGATGTCAGTGAGGCAATGTGAGTTAACAAAAGGATCGATGCCCTGTTGGGCGTCATGAAACGATGAACGTTCTCAGAGACGATGATGACATTACGTTGACGGCAGTCGATAATTTATTGTGTTCCAGATGCTTCACCCGTCACACTGTCATTCCTGCTGCATGACATTCCTTGTTATCCGTGCATTGTCGTCCATACAACGCAGATATATTCACATTTCACAGTCATATAATATTCAATCGCGCAATAATCAATTTTTATTATGAAATCACATCATGCAAGTTTTAATAGAAATATTTACAGCACATTTATTGTTACATTCATAAATCCCGATGTGGCGAGTGAAGCATCTACAGTTGGAAACGTACAAATGTTACTGACTAACGTTTGTAACGCTCTGTAAATAATGTAGAAATAGTCACTACACTTAACGAGATTATTAATGCGGGAGTAATGGATTGTCGAACGACGACGATCCGATTACATATTGGTGGATTATCGTAAGGGTAAGTGGCCCCTTCCAGCAGGCTGGACCTGTACAATCGTAAAATCCGCGATTTGCGAAATTTGGAGATTTTGCTACATTAGCTCCAAAAAGAGTAACCTATACGAGGATAAAAATAATTTTTTGCATAAATAAATAAGAGGAGATATATTTATTTAAATTAATAGCGCTTAATTTTTTCTACTAACTGCAAATCTTTTAACTCTATTTCCTCTGATTGGTCTATCACTTTAATCATCCTTGCTTTATCATACTTTCTTATTCTTTTTTGTTTAAAAAAAGATGTAACACCATTTATATATATATATATATATATATATGCAAGTAAAAATAACACGATTAAAGATGACAACGAATTTTCCTCGACAGATCCAGGCTCCTGAAACAGCCTCTTATTAGGGGAGTAAATTTGCGCTTGTGAGCAACTCGCATACTTTGTTTTCATTTCATCAGCCTAAAATTATTTTAAATTGATAAATGTATGAAAATAAAATTGTCGCGATATCGAAATTTTGTAAGACGATCTAAAGATAATGCGACAGCAAACTGTTGTCCTTGAAAAAAATATGTTCTTGCACGAGACTATACATCAATGCATATATCAACATGTTATTTATTATTTATTTTTCTATTTTGTGTTAATTTTCAAACGCACCATCCACTCCAAGATTAATTCATTGAAAGTATTCAAAAACAGGCTGACACTTTATAATTAAAATACCGCGCATGCGCATGCGGTGCAACAATATAGCTATATGTTTATTCATGGTGCCTCCATTTTCGATGGAAAATAATCTACATTAATACGTAACTCACGATTAACGCTTAACTCATTCAGTCATACATAGACTAATATATAAAAAAAAAAGATACAAAACAATACACATAGATAATCGCACACGCGCGTACATCGTGCCTTAATACTGTAGATAATCTTCTGATTCATTTCATTAGATATACTCGTATTCATCGAGATTATCGAAACACGAAATCGTGAAACTATTCTAACATGATTCGATGGTTTAATACAAAAGAAAAATGTGCAAAAATATAAGAATAGTATAATTATATTTAACATAACAATAAATAGTTAGCGATTAAAGGTATGAAAAGAGATTATTTTTATACAGAGCGTATTTTATCATTTTTTATTTTAAATTGCAGTCTCCTTGCATTAAGCCATCGAATTGCGAGTCCGCTTTTAAATCCGTTGCTTTCTCGTTTGTTTTTCTTTCCGACGAGAAGAACATTCCTGGGATTGAGAAGCGCGATTTAGAAACTGATGCAAATTCGGATGTATCTTCAATACTTTTATTCGAAGCAGTCGGAGACTGACAGAATATATTCTATTGGTCTACTCGAACAGACACACGGGTTGTGGGATAGCGAATGTATGCTGTTTTTCAATATTCCATTTTATCCTTATAGTAAGAGATAGTTTACAAGAAAAGTAATGGAGAACGTACCTGCCGTTTAATTCATTGTAGCACAAACACGTGGACTTTCTTGCGAGCGACGTTGAAATTCAGTGGCTTGAAAGCAGTGAGAATTACAATTTCATCGTCGATAATCAATGCTTCGTCATTCGCAGGCAATGGGAAGTGCAGAATACTCATAAATAAAGCCTCAGTTCGCAAAAAATCATGATATTCATATTGTTATATGCGGAAACAATCAAGTCTATTGCAATATTAATATAAGTCGCTCTCGCGATAAATCTAATAAGTAGGTATAAAATTATAAAAAAAATTATAATTATTTAATAGATATTAAATTTTATTATAAAAAGCAATGATAATTCATTATATTGTATTTGCATTATCACCACGTGTACTACGATAATATGGTAGTGATCGACTGCTCCATCGCACTTGTAAAGTATATTATCTTCTTAACGTACTAATCAAATTTTCCAAGACAGCTGAATATCTATATATGCGATCAATTTATGATAATACTAATTGAATGTCTATTTCTTAGGCTGTGTAATTGAAATTATTTTAGAGAATTTCGTAAAAATTTCCATGCAGTTTTCAGAACAATTCTCTTTAATTATCAAGAGATGTTTGTAATAATAAAATTCTGAAACGAAATTTTACATACTCATGTAAATTGTTGTCTAGTTTGGCTTCTTAATTCGAGAATCTTTTCCGTCTTACTAAAATCAATGCGCATTCGTTACAGCAAAAAAAAATAGTCTATTATATTTTGATTAATTCTTCACGCAGATACATTTTTTTGTTGTAAATATTATAATACTGAAGACTTTTTCAGTATTTCTATAGGTAGTATTATCAGGTCCCTTCTCCCCATGTAATTACTCATTTATTAAACCTATATACATACCAGCAGTTACCATTTGTAAACAAATGAGTTTTCATATTTTATATAAAGTATTTAATAAATAAAAAATAGAAAAGAGAAGAAAGAGAGTGGAAGAAAGAGAGATTATGTTCATGTAAAGATGCATACAAATCTACTGCTTTCTGCGAACTATTCTCTCTATTCTATATTTTATTCTAAAAATGTATTTTTAATAATAAATCGTTTAAAAAAAAGTAAAACCCATTATTTAATATTTCCATATTTTCCATCTTCCTCTTTCGAGGAAGCTAATTCATTCCTCAATATATTTTCACACAAGGAGTCTAAGTTTCTTTTGTGTAAAAACCGCTCTACTTATAACTTTGCAGAGTTAAAATGAGTGTTTTGCAAAGAAGATGCAATATAACTCCTGCATAGTAATAATCCGCTCATTTAAGATATAAAGATAAGTTAGATTATAAGAGAGATAGTAATAAAATATGAAAGTAAGAAAATATTTCTGGAAAAATTAGAACGTGAAAAAAATGAGATGTAGGTATGTGCGGTTCGTATAATAAAAATTATTGTTATTAGCAGTAATGCGGCAGTCATTTAATGATACGTTTATTTGACGCATACACTATTATTCTTGTCGTAAGATATATATCATCTTAGAAATTACACATTCAAAGGTGAGTCATTATTGTTGATTGTCTTGTGAAATAAAAAAAAAGTTACGAATATAGCTAACTAATTAGTTAGAAGCATGATCCCTCATTATGATCAATTGAGACACGCACATTAATAAAAAAACGTAATTTAAAATTAAATATCTCAAATTAAAAACAACCATTGTGTGAAGCAAAAAAAATCGTAATGTATTAAGCTAAGCGTGAAACATCAAACGTCATTCTAGAAAAAAACTTAATTTTAATATGCTACACTTTCAATTTTAATATGAATAAAACATTAATACTGTTTCTTATTATTATCTCGACTATGTTCGAGAGAAAATATTTATAGATTACTAAAGATTTGGATTTTTTGGATATTCAAAAATGTTTACCGGTAGAAATAAAAGACACAATATATTTTTAGATTAATGAATTTATGTACAAAAAGCATTTAACTAGTATATCTCTTAATTAGGATCAATATTGCGCAGTTTTGTAAATGCTAGTTTCTATGCTTATGACTATTATATATATTATGATACATATACGCAGTCGAGAATTATTTCACGAATGATGCTAAATATAAAAATACCGATGTGTAGATAATTTTATATCGCGCTTATCCGTAGAAAAATTTATCTCATTAATATATTTGATCCACATTTTTCGATTACATGTTCCGATTGCTTATTGTCATTGATTCTATTAACAAGTGCAAGAGTAAAAAAAAATAAGAATTTTCTTGTAAAGAAATCGAAAAGATATATCTGTGTTTTATAATTATATTCATTTTTTATAGATGGAAAATTTCAGATTGTCGCAAGATATGAAAATTAGCATTCATCTCACATACACGCTAGATATCTATATATTAACACTCTCTTGACGTATTATTTGTATTATGTTGCGTTACATGAAATTTATATGCTTTATCAATCATGGACAGACTATTATGTACTATGCCAATTTTTTAAATAACCGATTATTTATGTTATAACAATTTTCCAATTTTTATAATTTATCGCAGTAAATATGATAATCGGCGACTTACATCTATCTATCAAATGATCAAGAAGGTGCTAATATATCGTTCGATACGACCGAATGCTAAAGAGTATAAAAATGATTTAAAAATTGTTTCTCTCTTGATATTTTACGTTTAAATTGAATTCTTGTCATTCGTGCGTGTTGGAATAATGCCACTAGCGGCGCGTAAACTTCGTGTTTAATTAAAGTAACGTTAATGAAGACAATGGAGTTCTATAATTTTTTTGATAAATGAAGCTAAACGGAAACGTCACTTCCCGGAGTAGTGCGAACCGATGTTGGACGGCGGTCCTCTGTGATGATGATGATGCTTTTGTCCAGGACCGGAGTATCTGCTTCCTGGCCGAGAATGCACTATCGCGTAGTGATCGCTGTTCGTCGATATCGACCTCGTGGAATTCATGGTAGATCCTCCGGAGGCGTAGCCTTGCTTTCCGTTTAACGAATACCTGAAGAATATAAGAAGGGTCTTGTTCAGGCACGCAATCGCATGCGTCATGATACGCGATCCGTAATATTAATTGGCATCATCGTGACTCCGCTGCGCGCTTAAGTACAACTTCACTTAGAAAGTTTGATGCGTTTCATTTTCGTCGGAACGGCAGTTTAAAAATTGCACGATGCGCAAAAGAGAGAACTACCGAACACGCGATCGGTTGTAAAAATATACATATCAATTATACATCGCGCTTTTAATCTGACAGGGATACATTAGCTTATCAATGATCGATTCGAGCCAAGTCGGGCTTGAGTGTTGAAGCCGCTCGGTGTAGATGACATACGGTTATGTACGAGTAAATCATATATTATTGATGCGATTAATAGAGGAGAGAGATACTTCGTCGGCGAGTCATGCGAAAGAGCAGCTTTAGTAGAGGAGGTAATTAAGTCAAACCTCGACCCGTATTGAGAGCCGTGCCAGCTGCGGTACGGATCATAATCCTCGATGATTGACGGCTCCTTCTCGATGATGTCGGTGCGGGTGCAGCTGCAGGTCATTGCCGAACATAGGAATATGTTGATGATGAGCATGATGAGGAATAATATCCCGAGCGCCACCGCCAACCACAGAAGCCAGAGCGGGTGCACGCTGCCGTCATCGTACAATGTTTGTACAACTGCGAACGAAAAGAAGCCACTATTGTAATTTTCGTATTACGATATAGATGATAAACCTGCGAAGGAAATATCGCATTAGTATTATTGTAAAAATTCCATTTGATCAAATAGAGTGACAATCTTGTGTCTAATAAGGGAAAACAGAGTTGTTCCACATAAGTATAGAGAGCCAAATGAGATAAGTTAATGAGGCAATAATTTTGCAATAAATTTTCCACTTTTAATCTCTCTCAATCCATTTTAATGATTTTGAGATATCCATTAATTTTATCGTGTTGAAAAATCACATGGCTTTATTCAGTATTATTGTAAAAATTCCATTTGATCAAATAGAGTGACAATCTTGTGTCTAATAAGGGAAAACAGAGTTGTTCTACATAAGTACAGAGAGCCAAATGAGATAGTGGGATAAGTTAATGAGGCAATAATTTTTCAATAAATTTTCCACTTTTAATCTGTCAATCCGTTTTAATGATTTTGAGATAGCCATTAATTTTATCGTATTGAAAAATCACATAGCTTTATTCAAATTTAGCGAGATAAGAAAATGATCTATTTACTTTGCAATGCGGTATAATTAATTTAATGACATAATTTCGCGAAAATATTTTATTCCGTACCGGACGTTGATGAGCGGTATGGAAAATTATAGCGCGGCACCGAATGGACGAAAAAAAAATTTAACCGGAGCACAAAGTGTGATAAACGAAATAAGATCCCTTATGTGAGTCTGAACACGCATTATAATTTGATGACAGCCCCTGGATATAGGTTGCGTGTCGAGACGACGTCCGAATGCAGGTCAGGATGACGAAGAAAGACGACAAGCAACTATCTTGCAAGGATAAAGACATAAATGAAAATATACACAAGAGAAAGCAATAAAGAAATCAAGAAAGAAACAGACCGCAGGTATTCCCGACATGACTGAACGGTTTTCTTGTTGCGTGGATATGTCAAAACAAACTGACTGCAACTCTATAGCTTGAACGAATGTCGTCCAATTGCTTTTACCAATCGCTTCATAAACTCCTTTTAATTTTGTTCTTATATGAACTTACGGCCGCCAAGAAAAGCAATTTTTTTCAATATTAAAACGAATAAAATTGATTTCTTTATATTTTTCATATTATAAGTTACTAGATCTTTTTATTAATTACAGAATGTATCTCTGTATTGCAAAGTAATTTATTACTTATTTTTTGGATAATTTTTTTTATCTCTTAATTAGGTATTTTGAGTAGTGTACATATAAATTTGAAAAAAAATCGAGAAAGAGATTATTACAATAATTAATCTGCACAATATAAGGGATGAAAATATATCAAGAATATCATAATAATGTGCTATAATAATATAAAATGATAAAACATGAAATGACAATAATAGTCAATTTGCATCTATAGCAACTTTACGTACCTCGTTTTTCGCCTGGTTGGAGAACAAAAACGCTTGTTCCAGCAAGTAGCACTCCTTCTTCGCCATTAACATTTTGTCCAGTGGAGGAGCCACCCTTTATTAGGTCCTCTTTGTCTCCTTCGCATACAGGAGTACCGCAGCTTCCTAAGTACGTAAATTTCTGTTCCATTAATCGTAATGAGAGATATTACGCTCGAGAGTTCACATAAAGTATCAATTGTCAAAAATGTGACTGTTCACAAAAGTGAATAATTTACGAAAAAAAAAAATATTAAGCATGCTATTAAAATGTTCGTTCTGCGAAAGATAGAAACTTTTACGATTTGGGAAGCGAATCATCTTTTTTGAAGAGTCGAACGGGAATAGTTATCTGTCAACAATGCATCGCACGCAACAAGTTGCAAAAGTTGAATGCCATTTTATAACCCACATTCGTAATGAAATGCTAATGGGAAATCATTCAACGGATCGGTTTACCTCTGCACACGGCGATGTCGCATTGGAAATGCACCTCTGAACTGTCGGCAAACCGGAACATCGAGAACAATGTGGCATCCGCCGTACCGCTGCTTCGATCGTATATGAATTTCGTCATTCGAACTTTCACAGGACAGCTTCGCAATTCAAAAAAAAAAAAGGTCACAATTAGTATATCGTTTCAATCGTCGAAGCGACATTGCGTTAATAAAAAATGCAAGCATCTTTTTCATCGATAGGGCAAATAGAAATGGACATGAAAAATGATTAAATAAGTTGAAATTAATTTAAAGTTGTTTTTGTCTTCTCAATGTCTCACTATCTGCAAAGTTCTGAAGAGAGTTCACTTCGATAAGAAAGGAAATTTATTAAACGGAGAAACTTGGGGAAGAGAGAGAGTTCTCATTATACGCAATAAAAAGGTCAGTTGAAGTTTTAATAAAATTACTGTTAAGTGATTTTAACTCTTAAAACAGTTTTATCTATTCCCAAAAGTTCTTCACTTTAATGTAAATTTTTGCACAAAAAATTGGGGGCATTTATATATGTTATATCTACAATAAATATACACATATCTGTAAGATTTATATCTATGACACATTTAAATGCTTGCGATAAATATAAGTCATTAATTTAAAGAAATATCTTTATGAATTCTTTAGAAATGTATCATCTGCTTACCCTTTTCGTCTATAAGCTGCACACTGGAATTGAGCTTGTTGAATGCGAAGCAGTTCTTGACTCGAATCCCATACATTCCTGCAAATTGAATGTTCAACGATACAGTGCTTCGGACAGGAGAAATATCGACGAAGAAACAACTATAACTATACTAACGGACTTGTCCATATCATCGATACTGAAAAAGCAAAACGATAGAATGGGATATAAGATACAAACCGTCTGGGCGTGAAATCTCGGCTCGCAAAGTGTAGTTGTGACCGTATATAGCTTCTTGTACTCTGACACCTTCGTCCAGAAGGCGCAAGGACACCAGCGAAGTTTCATTTCTATGCAAAAGACGTTGTTTTGTTTTGAACACTTGAGAATTTCTTTATAGCGGTTCATAATACATTTTATTATTAGAATCATGACGCGGCGCGTAGACTTGACAGAAATTGCGATTTATGCGAGTGATTAAATATGACTGGAAATATATCAGAATAGTCAATAATATAATGTATATCTAACGTTTACGTGTATAAATTAATAAAATAATATAATAAAAAAATAAAAGAATAATTATAACATAATGATAAAAAAATTAATGAATTATTTTTATATTTGCTTTAATAAAAAAAATTATTTCGAGAATATATATAATGATCCCGACAAAAAGTAATTATCATTTGCGGTTCAATTCGACGACAGTTGTATACTAAATATTGACCGCATTTTGCACTTGCACGGAATAAAAAATGTGGCTTGCGGTAAACCGCAGCGCGTCACAGGAATACTAATTATTGCTCCATTTATCTAATTCTTGAATGCTTAATTAAATTCCATTGTCACTAGAGCGGTTCTGAATTTAAATAAATAAGTTGTCAACAATTTTTGATATATACATACATCCGAAGTAATTTTTAAAGAAACCGCAAAAGATTAACGGATGAATACTAACTTCGGACTGCATTTATTAAAACTTTAAGTTCAAAGAAATATTTTGTAATATCTTAATATTGTATTAAATATTACGTGGAATTTTTAAACAGTCCTATTTATCATTAGCTAAATTAATACTGCAAAATATTAGAGTCTTACAAGAGAATATAATTGTGTCGAATCCTGTTTGGACGATTAATCGAGTGAGATATTGAATACTATAATAAATGAGAAGTATCTTTAAATATGAAATGGCCTTTTGTTGAACAAATATCAGTTGATTAAAAAATGCATGGTTGTTAATGATTAGAAACCATGAGAATGATATTTCCTGTTTAGATAGTACTGTCTTCTGCTGAGTTATTTCTATCTCTTATACAGTTTAGAATCTACCGCATATCGATTATTCATGACAGTATATAAAGAATCTTTAAATAAAATAAACTTGTAATAACATCAATATAGTTTCCGTCATTTTGACAATCTGCTAGATTAAACTATCGATTGCTTTTTATGTTTATATAAAACGATGAGTATCAAATATCGAGATATGCAATATAATGACAGAACATACGTATATAAGTCAGAGAATAATTAACAAATATTTAATTCCTTAAAGAAAAGGAAAAAATAGCTTAGAATCAGACTTTTTAATTATGAATTTTTTTACTACAGATTTTTTAATAAAATGTTACATAATTTTACGGGTTATTTGTTATTTTTTTGTAATTGAATTTTAACTTACTTGGCATTTTTGAAGCCCGCTTTTCCGCACGTTATGACATAAAACTTGTCATCCGCCAGCTCCAGAGTTTTATGTATTCTAACAGCAATGGGAATGGAACGTTCTTCCGTGTGCTGTAATATTATCATATATTCAAATAAAAGAAAGAATGACGTAACATACTAAACAATAAACCGACAAGCTGCTTACAACCTTTGAATAAATTTGTCCATAAAATAATACTGTAAATTTTGATTTTTATGTACAAAAGTATTAATGAATATACGCAAATTTCTTGTAAAACATTCTCAATTATGTGTGCGTGTATGTAAAAATTGTACCGAGAAGTTTTCATCCACAATGTCGCTACATTTGCAGAACAAACATCCCGGTGGAAAGAGAAGGATTCAAATGCAAATGAAAAATCTCCATACATACGATCGATCTTTACGCTATTCTCGAGGCATTTAGAGTGACCAACCTAGGTAAATTAGCATAAGCTCAATCTCCTCTCGGAACAATTTTCTGAAACATGTCACACACACTCGTAAATAGAGACGATAGAGAGACGAATATTAATTCCAAGTGCACCCAAGGGCAGGGGAAAATATCCGTTTACACGCAGCGAGAGACCCTCTCGGTACGTAACGAGTTGATTTCTTGCTACTTCTCGCTCGAATCTTACGTCCCTGATTTTTTCGGAATTTTAAGGACGCGAGTCTCGATGCCCATAATTCGACCGCCCTCGGCGTACACCGGCGATTTCCATAATATCATAGAAGCCTTACGTTGTTCACGAGGACTCCGCAGTACTCCGGACTGTCCTGCGACGCGTACAGGTTGATGCCCAGAGTGGCGTGCGTGGTGCCGTTGCCGGATACCATGCACTGCGGGGTTCGATGATCCCGAGCGTGGACTGCGCCTACGAAACTCTGATTGAGATTCACGCGTATCGTCATGTAGCCGCCCTTGCACGTCGCCGTCACCGTCGGCTGGAACTCCCCGTCCAATAATTGCCCGGCGACCTGCAATCACGCGGAAACGGCCGTATATTAGGTCGGAACCTTCGAGCAAGGATCCAATTATTATCTATGTTATCCGTGCTAAAATGAAGGAGAGAAGACGACCTCTTTGGTCCTGGAATTTCTCACGAGGGAAGTTAGACAACCCGGAAATTCAAAAGATTCTGAAACGGTGTACAAGTAGAGTAGTTTATTCAAAACTATTTTTTGTTCGTGTTGAATTACGTCCTGAGGGGATGAAATCACCCTTCATAAGTAGAACGGTTTTTAGCTTTTCTCGTTTTATCTCGAAAATTATTCAAGATATTAAAAAATGTTTTGGACAAAAGTTTTATGGTAAAAAAACCTCTACGTTAATAAAATTTTGAAAAAATAATTCTTCAAAATTATTAATCCTCAAATTATTTTTTCCTCATCGAATCTCACTCCAAGAAATTTAGAGAGTAAATGTTTTATCATCAATTATTATCTATCCGTGCTAAAATGAAGGAGAGAAGACGACCTCTTTGGTCCTGAAATTTCTCACGAGGGAAGTTAGACAACCCGGAAATTCAAAAGATTCTAAAACGGTGTACAAGTAGAGTAGTTTATCCAAAACTATTCTTTGTTCGTGTTGAATTACGTCCTGAGAGGATAAAATCACCCTTCATAAGTAGAATGGTTTTTAGCTTTTCTCGTTTCATCTCGAAAATTATTCAAGATATTAAAAAATGTTTTGGACAAAAGTTTTATGGTAAAAAAATCTCCAACTACGTTAATAAAATTTTGAAAAATAATTTTTCAAAATTATTAATCCTCAAATTATTTTTCCCTCATCGAATCTTACTCCAAGAAATTTAGAGAGTAAATGTTTTTTAATCAGGGTCAGTGTTGCATTGCCACAGCCTGTCTTATTAAAGATCATGGCCGTGCAACATTGATGGAGAAAGACTCGGGTCGAGAAAACCAACCGGGTCTCTTAATGTATCTTAAGAATATCCTCGTTACGAGGGTAAAACCTGACGGAATTCGTCCTTTTTTCCGCTCGTATTCCAAGATATTTAAAGCTGTAATTTTTTTTGAAAATTGCGAAAAATACGCAAATCGCGTTTCTGTTATCTCGCGACGCTATATCGAAACGAGACGAGTGTCTGCATTTTTTTGCTCTCGACGACAGGCCTCGAAGCGTGTGCGAGACTCGCGGAGCGATCTCCACCCCCTAGTATCCCGCTAAGGAGCACTCGACGAGAACGATATACAGACCAATGATATTTCCTCGGGCCGGATCACGGACTTAATGTACGAGCAAACTTGGACCGGTCTGGGCAGTAGCTATCGGCCCACGCTAACTTTCAATTTCACGCGACCGGGCCGCGCCGTATAAACGCGGATAACGTGTGTTTGTACTGTCAGGAATACGCGCGATCAGACACGATCTCGATACTAATCTCGAGTTAACATAACATCCCCGAGTGGATTCCTAGGCGACGACAACATCGATTCCACAGTTATTTTTGTAGACGTAATTAAAAGCGCTCTATTGCGTCTATTATTTCTTGTATGCATTTTAGACATTTTTTAAAAATTATGGCCGGGATGCCTAATTAGGAAATGTCGATTACAAGAAAATTAAATAGAGGTAAATCTGAAAGCACACGGAATTTTCTCTTAGAATTTACTCTGAAAATCATGGGACAATGTGGTATTAGAAAAATTTTACAAGAGTTTCTCTGATTAATATTAACCACAGTAAAAAATATTATTATGAACATAGTCAAATTAATCAAACATATTTTATATCTTATTGTGGTAGATATTAATATTTTTCATAGTGGTAAATATTTTTAATCAGAGGAATTCTGACAAAATTCTTGATTTTCAGGATAAATTCTAGGAGAATATCGCTCTGTGTACCAGCTCCTTGCTAGAATAAAATCATTACTGATCCAATGACTATTTTTTGAAGAAAATCGTCTAGTCTTCTTCAGATAATTTACGTCTTACATCAGAATTCAGGACAGAACTCTATTTATAATTTATATATGTGCATTTTAATTTCTTCCTCACACATCTAAAATTACAAGCGGATTCCGTCAGAAATTATACAGAGATCTAAAATCGGTGTTCGAAATTTGCATCACGAAGGATTCAGGAGCCTTTGGCGAAATCAATATCCTTTCTCGGGATAATGTGCCAAAAGTGGTACAATTTTGCTATCTCCGGCGATCTCGCCCGAAGCCTGCGAGAGAAGACAAAGATCCGCACGTAGGCGTCCCGGCAAGGACGCAAACGAGTCCTAAATGCTCCGACGTTATTCGAGGAAGAGGAGATCTCTCGGAGAGCAGTCGTTAGTCTCTCGTTCGCCGAAGAAGAAAGGCGGCTTAGCGGTCCCCGATTAGCGGCGGACGCTTTGTCTTCTACGTGTGCGATGACAGGTATACGAGAAAGAGAGAGAGAGAGAGAGAGAGGATCGTGGTCGCCGTTGGGCAAGGCCTTGCGAAGACTCCGTATGACATTATGCGCGTATAATTTAATAGCACTCCAAGTTGTGTTGCTGGAACGACGATCGTTCGTCTGTCAGGAAACTGTACGACTCCAAGAGTTTACGTAAAGCAATATATTTCAGCTTGTATTCACATTTATAGACGTAGCCTTAGACTGGTGAATCCAGAAGGCTACATAATGCAGTCGCAGAGAATCGAGATTAATGCTGAACAGATTATTACGCAAAGTGTACTCATCTTCTTCTCTATTGTACATCCTACACTTTGCTTATAAATGTGGTTAAAATAAATTTTCTACGAGAAAATAAAGGACAAATTGAGTTTTGGAAAAATGAATAAATCTAAAAGACAGCTACTTGAAATAAAGCCCTATCTTCTAAAAAAAGGCTGGATGATCACCCTACTTATAAATCATATTCGTCGATTCAAAAATTGTTCCGAATAATTATTAACATTAATTTTAATATCGCATTATATTGAATAATTTTTTTGATATTCTATAATCCAAAGCTTTCACTTAACTCGAAGAGAATTGTAGGATGTAGGTGTGGAATAAAAAAATCTGAAATCAAAATATTCGCATTAATATTAATACGCTGACGCGCCTCGAAAGCAACAATAGCTTGCAATGGAATGGAATGATTGCAGCATATGCAACATATCTGCAGGATTTTGCTATTACATGACATTTAATTGGCAAAATGCAGGAACACGTGTCCTCAAACTTCCTGAAGTATCCCGTCCACTCAATGGCGAATAAATAATTTGGTACAATGTGTATTATGCACGGTTACATAAAGCTGAAGCCGATGTAACGGCGCGCTATATAGGCGCGGAAACATCAGTTCCGCCTGTTAAACTGGACTCTTATCCTCCGCATCTGAAGGATATTCCATTATAAATATCATGCGCTCGCCAATTATTGTCCAACGGCTAAACAGCCCGAGTTGGATATACGGTAAGCTTCCGTCGTTCGACTTCCATCCACATGCGGTGGTCTTTCAGAAAAATGCGAGGCAACGAATGGACAGGCTTAAAATAGCAGAATGGTATCACGTAATCGCAACGCAAACAATAGAAGAAAGATTAGTTCCTTATCACGGTCGGACTGACACATGCCAATGCCGCGCGAAACCAGTTGGACAAAAAAAAATCAATGGCATGCAAAGCGGGTTTCTCTAATTTTTATCTTATTATTATTGTTTCAATTTTATTTTAATTTAATTAATTCTTTTTATTTTAATTTAATTTTCCTTTTATTCGTTCTCAATTTCAGATTTTTATCTCACGCCTACGATCCTCTTCGAATTAAGCAGCGAGGATATCTGAAAGAAAATCCAGGAAAATCTAAAAAAATAATGATCGCAAACTTCAGATTTCATAAAACAACGCAGAAATAAGAGAGAACAGCTGACGAATAAAAATGTAGCTTCGACTCTATGAATAATTGCGAAGGCAAAGCCGCGGGCTTTTTAAAGACACACCAATCCAACAGCACGACGGTGGCCGGATCGCGATAGGCGCATAGTTATACAACGCAAACAACTGGACGCGGGAACTCGTTTGGAAACAACAATTGCGATCGGGCCGGCAATTAATAATTCGCCCGGGAGGGTTGCGCCCGAGCGCTATCGCGTATCGACGCCGCGCGCGCAATAAATTGATAATTTTTTTCGCTCGGGCTTTAATGCGCGCGCGTAAAAATTCACGCGTGGATAACGGCAATGCATCAAGATTTTAATCCCTGCCGCGCGCGCACTCGTGGCCGCGATGTTTCAACGCATTCCTCGAGCGCACACACCCAGTCCCAGGCAGTCGAAGCCGCAGAAACAGGATCGTTCCTCTCACTGTCCGATTGTCGATCGGGAGACTTTCGGCTTGTCGGCGACGTGTCTTTCGATAAATAAGGGCTGGGAGACGCAGGCGAGGAATATAAGGGCCAAGAAATAAGATATAACGAGCAAGCGAGTTGACCCGTTCTTTTTCTCTCCGCTTGGAAAAAAAACGTATTTATTTGTAAAAAAGTATTTCGATAAATTTTTATTTATCGTGCGGAACCTTTTTATGTATATTATTCTAATTTAATATATTTTATCTTCTCCTTCTGCATGTTTTTCAGGAAGATTGATGAAGAATAATAATTATTATTCTTCTTTAAAAAAAAATAATAAACACGGAATAAGTCGAATCATATATATTGCATTAATTTTATCATTTAAAAATTGTATCAGACGGGAAGAATGAAAGAAATAATTGTTGCAGATCGAAAGAGACGATAAAAATTATGATTTCGATAATACAATTAATTTGAAATTAATTAAAAAGTATAATAGACCATCGTGGAGAATAATAAAGATATTAATATTCCTTAATATCATGTTAATATCAATATTAACATGTGTAATGAGTATGGTTTTTTGTAAATGCTCGTTTAAATAGTTTTCTTCCGCGTTGTTTCAATATAACTCACGATAAGTATCGTTGCTAATAAAGATACTCCAATAAAGTACGCTATCTCTT